TTATACATTTCTAAACAGAAAGTCAGTCAAGAGAATATATTGCATGTGCAAAAACATCAGTTTACAAATGTCAACTGCACCTTTGACAATGTGCTTGTTTTAATAGTTCTGATATACATATAAATGGTGATGGGGGTGGTGATGGCGCAGTGGATAAGAGACGCGCCTTTGGTGTGAGAGACCTGGATTTGAATCCACCGTGAGACACCAATGTGTCCCTGAGCAAGACGCTTAACCCCTAATTGCTCCAGAGGCGTGCGACCTCTGACATATATAGCAATTGTAAGTCGCTTTGGATAAAAGCGTCAGTGTGTGTATGTGCTAATGAATGATACAGGAATTTTTGAATGGGAAATTACTTGTATAGAAAGAAGGTGTGATAAATAAATAAATAAATAAATAAATTTAAAAAAATCAGCATATATTTTTTACATAAAATAATCATTAAATGAATGCAAATGTTCTGTCCATGTGGTTATTCATCTTAAAGGCAGTCTTTGGTGTGGTTGATAATCATGTGACGAAAATAATTTATAAACATTTTAATATTATATATTTTCATATCCTAAACTTTAGCTTTCATCAGATATATAAAGATACTGAAATGCTAACAAGTCTACCTCTTCCCCAAACACTCATGCACAATTGCATTCTCATACACAAATCATTGACATCTTGCATGTGAATGATTTTCTTGCACTGCCCCAGAGAGCTTGGGTGGAAATGCAAAACTGATGCAGCGGTGTCATGTTGTGTGAACATCTTATCACATTGTGTTGCCGGAGACACATGAGACGGCGCTCTTATTGTTTATAGATGCCCTCATTAATGAATAACATGAAGGTCAAACAATTCAATTCAAACAAGGTCAAACACATTGTCTGATAAACTGTGTATACCTTTATGGTTGACTTTTGTGTAAATACAGCACACTTTGGCCAAAACTAAAATAATAAAACTACTTTATCAATAACATAATTAGCCTTTAGGATAAAAGTATGATTTTAAAAAATAAAATAAGAAAATTGCATTGTAAAACAGAAGTATGCAAAAGAGCATTAAGTTACCATTATGTAAGGCTGGCATTGAGCATTTGTTAATAAAATTTGACTTGATTGTGTTTGTGGGTCTTTTTTGCCTTTTTTAACACATCAAAGTAAATGTATGCATTTTAAATAGTTCACAAACAGAAACATTTGCTTTGTTTTGAGTTTCCTTGGCCATGAATATATAGTACTTACAGTTGAATGAGGCAACAGATGCAGTGTGGGGAGAGTTTCTATAGTGCCGTTTCTATAGAGCTGTTTTTGTTGTGCTTGGAGGAGGATTTTTTCCAGCTAGGTTATCTTTCCTCCTAGGGATCACCAGCAACGGTAAGGGAATGAAAACAGGGTCAAGCCTAGCCAAAATAACCTGTAAACCTGAGTGTCTGGTACACAAGACTAAAAATATAATATTTATGTGGTGAAATCACAGTGTTTCAGGTCAAAAGCAGCAGGAAGTTATTTATCCATGTCCCACATTTGTGTATTCATAGTGTGTGTGTGTGTGTGTGTGTGTGTGTGTGTGTGTGTGTGTGTGTGTGTGTGTGTGCAAGGCAGCTGCTGCCAGTGTTGCTAAACTTTGAATGCTAATCAATTATGCAGTGCATAGTTTTGCTTACACACATGCACAGGCAACCTGTCAAGTTCAGACTTTCCCAATCCCTGAGGGAGTATCACACCAGTTCCCTAGTTTTCATGTGCCTTGCTGCATATTGAGCAGAGGATACACATTATTTCTTATCAAATAAGAACTACTAATATCTTGAAAACCTACAATAGCGTTCACAATTTTGGGGGCCGGTAACTAATGTTTTGAAATGGTTGCCAAGGCAAAATAAATATCACAGCAATTTAACATAACTAATATATTTTTAAATGTAATTTTTTTGTCTGTGATGGGCTGGCAAAGCTGAATTTTCCCTTTTCCAAAATTCATAGTCAATTGATCTTTCAGAAATCATTATAATGCTAATTTGGTGCTCAAGAAACATTTATTATTATTATTATTATGAAACAGTTTTGCTATGTTATAAAAAAAACTATCCAGTTATGTCATAGAATCTTGAGTCCTTTAATCTAATAACATGATTTTGACCTTTTTTTGTGGTCCGTCAAAATGCTGATGAGTAGACTTGATTATTGCAATTGATTATTATAATACAAATGTTGTATGTTATACATCAACAATTATAATGCATAATGCATCGTAAGTTCTGCTGTTGAAATTCATTCTGCATGCCTTCATCCTATTTAATTTTGTTCAGCCTACGTGTGCTTCTGTCATAGCATGCACTGAATGCCCTCTATAAGGATGAGGGCTGATACTTATACATATATCACATATATATCATCTCAGATACTCATAATTAATTAATCGATGCTGCACATCCCACTTGTGCCGAGACACTCAGTGCTTCAGGGATGGCAGCACAATATTGGCCTATCCACCTTTTTCTGCGCCTGTTGTATTTCCCATGATTTAGTGGGTTCAACTGACTAAACGGTTTTCTAGTTCCGGTTGAAGTATTTGTTACATAGAATGCTAGCTAGTCCAGACATTAGAAAAATATCAGTCTACACATGTCTGCAGCAGTCAGGGGTGATCGAACTGTCGGATGTTCATGTATTGCTGGATTAGGGAGATTGTGCTGTCATAGATCAGCTATCTTTTGGAAATTATGTAGAAAAGAAAAAAGTTCATTTTGTTTTTATCTGTGATTTTAGAAAAAATAACGTGATCAGATAACATTTGATGAATGTTTTTTTTTGTTCTTCGATTTAGTTTAGCGATGTGGGGATGACACAATAAGAAACACATAGACCAGATACGAACCGGAAGTTGGCAACCTGAGTCGTCGTTATGGCAGCGCGCATTGATTATAGCAGAATAAGGTGGATACACAAATACTTGGTTGTATTGGAAATTTGCATCAGAAAGGGACATTTTACTGTCTAAGTACTTATTCTTTTTAGCATTTATGTTTATTTATGATATGAGTGTGTTTCTGTCTGTCCCTGTGTAATAATTTGTTATATTTACATAGTGCTTTTCTAGGTATTCAAAGCGCTTCACATATGGAAGGGGGAATGTCCTTAACCACCGCCAATGTGCAGCATCCACCTGGATGATGCAATGGCAGCCATATTGCACCAGAAGTCATGTCAAGTCACCTTTATTTATATAGTCCTTTTTACAATACAGATTGTATCAAAGCAGCTTCACAGTGATAACATAAAAATAATACAACACAGTTGAATATTGAATGTCCCCAACTAGCAAGCCAAAAGGCAAGGCAACAGTGGAAAGGAACCAAAACTCCATCAGGTGACAGAATAGAGAAAAAACCTTGGGAGAACCCAGGCTCAGTCGGGGGCCAGTTCTCCTCTGGCCAATGAAGGAACATTGTGATTCGTGTAGCATTACAAAACAATTTGGATCGAAACATTAAGAGTATTTGTCCATTTCCATCTGTTTGGAAGTCGAAGTAATCACGCCGGTTTGGAGATGAGATGTTGAGGATCAGTGCTGATGGCTGTCGTGTCGATGAGGCTGGCACTTAAGGATGAGTTGGGAAGGATCCAAGCGCATGTCCACCAAAGAGAGTCCCTCGGGATAAACAGAGAAACTAATATTAGCGCCAAACCTTCTTATGATGTACCAAGTACATCAGGATTTACAGGGCGCGTTACCGGTTCCAATTATCAACTGGCCAGAATTCCGAGATTGCAATAAACGTGAAGGACTAAAATGCATTAAGAGCTCGCTCAAGTACTGCAGAGCTAAACCATTTAGTGCTTTGTAAGTAATCAGCAATATTTTAAAATTCATACGATGTTTAATAGGCAGCCAATGTAGGGTGCCCACCACAGACCAGCTCATTGGTGGAGGAGAGACCAATCAGTTTATGGGGATGATTAGGAGGCCACGATAGACAGAGGCCAATGGGCAAAATTGGCCAGGATGCCGGGGTTACACCCCTACTCTTTTTCGAATGACCTACTGGAATTTTTAATGACCACAGAGAGTCAAGACTTTGGTTTAACGTCTCATCCGAAGGACTGTGTATATTGTCAAGTTTGTGTCGAATTAAATAAAGAGGTGGAACAGGGTCAAAGTGAAAGATATCAAAGCTCTCATTCAGTTCTTTTCATCAACAGCTAAAGATCTTTATCAGAATGGGACATCTAATGGAGGTGTAGGGTTTGTTCTCTTATTCAGAAAATACAAAGACGTACTGTAGAAAGTGGGCTATAAATTTTTTGTGATCTCTATTTAAAAAAAGATGCATATCTTAAACAATAAGCAGATTAGGATGTGGGCAGTGATACATGCAGTTGCACTATATAGCAAAATAGGCCAATTGTTACTATTTTATATTTTGGTGAATCGTTTGAATGAATTTGTAATCTCGTTCATATGTTTTCTTTCGAAGTGCATGTGCTCCACTGACAGTCCATATATCAAACATGTAAATGGTTATATTACCATGAAAAGTCCAACTATATGCGAAACCATTAACACAGTCTGACAGGGAAAATGTACCCTTTTGACTCCTAATGTTGGCCAAAAACGTTTATAATTAGTAACATAAATTACTTGAAATTGAGCATGTCTTTACAAGTAACCTCCCCAGCCATGACTTATGCTCTTTAAAGATTTCAAATGCCCGCAAAACTTCTTAATACAGTTAAGTTACTTCAGTAAATTTTCTCAAATGAATTTGAGCTGGTATGAATCTGATTTAAAATATAATATAATATTTATATTTGTATATAACAAACGCATTCAGTGTACTGTATATGTTAACAAGTTCAAACATGCAATCTTCTGTTTGGTGTAGGTAGGTGTGCTTGCTGGGTAACACGATTCTTCTTTTCGATTATAAAAGTAGCTAAGCAGGTCTCTGGTTACCAATACAAAACGGTTTCTGTGTGAAATGTGATCCGCGTTGTAACCATTAGCAACAGATTACAACATCTCTAATCCAATCAAAAGCAGAAGCTCCAAGAGAGCGCGGGTTCCTCGACCAATCAAAAGCGGACGGATAATGATTGACGTCTCAGTCATCCACCTGTGTTTGAATGCGAAGGTTGGCATTATTTAAAACTGAAAACCGGTTGCTGGACTTTGCAGAGTTTAGGCGACGCGCGGTGGGAGAGAGACTGCTTCATTTGTTTTCTAATAAGAAAGTGCTTTTTCCTTAGCGATTCAACATGAGAGAAATTGTTCACCTGCAAGCTGGCCAATGTGGAAACCAAATCGGTGCCAAAGTGAGTAACAGTTAAGGGTATTGATTACTACGTTAGGCTAATAAAGCCAAGGCCTGTTGCGAGGGGCATAACGTTACATTAGTTTGTGTGTTGTCTAGTTATCATGTGTAGAACTTATTATGGGTGAAAAATTATATTTAACTCTACTTTTCTTTATAAAAAATAACATATGCTAAGATGAGTAACGATCTAACGTCGTTTTGTTTTTTCCTAAACCCGTTTTGTCTTTAAGTTGCCATGACAACACTTCGAAAGTGGCCGTTATTTAAAAACATCTTATTTAAAAAATATATTTTTTTGTAGATATTTTAAGGTGATGAAATTGTTAATATTGACTCCTTTTCTTCTGTGTCGTCAGTTTTGGGAGGTGATTAGTGATGAGCACGGAATTGACCCAACAGGAACTTACCATGGGGACAGTGATCTGCAGTTGGAACGGATTAATGTGTACTACAATGAAGCCTCTGGTCAGTTTGCGTTTGCAATGTATTAAAACTAAATGCTTTAAAGGGTTAGTTCACCCAAAAACTGTCATGACTCACCCTCATGTCGTTCCAAGCTGGTTTAAAGGCACACTAGCTATGCAGTCTCAGATTTTTTTTTGTAAAACAGTGACCTCTAGAGCCGCTGTGGTGTACTTGCACTGTCGTAAATAACCGTTATTCCACTGTTACTGCATACCTACTGAACTACTCTACTGTCAATACTTTATAATAATAAAGTTGCCTATCGCATTTGCTGGCTTGTAACGTTTTTACATGATTTTTGCTAAATCACAAGTAAATAGCCTAAAGTGTAGGACTAATGTATAATTTCATTTGTGTTTTTGATTGTAATGTAAACATTACAAAATGTCAGAAATCAATAAAGTTAAATGTACGTCGCATTATTTCATAACATTGGCCGTTATGATTTCATTAGACATGATTACAATTATTACAATTTATCATAATAGTTAGCAAATTGTGTTCAATTACACTATTTACAACCTCTAGACTTATATGTCCTAATAATTATGTGAGATATTGACTATGTCCTCATGATAATCACAGGAATCTACATCAACAGCGGCAAGATTTAATAGATTCATAATCAACACAATTTGAGGAAAAATTACAGTCGGGAAGTGCACTGTTAGTCTGATAAAGTTTATAACAGTAACTTACGCACGACATAAGAAATCCGAACCAGACACAGGACTAACTTTACGTGATACACATCACAACACCTGAGTTCAGCTGGCAAACTAGATCTTGTGGCAACCTCGGCAATAAAACATAACGAAAAAAACAACAAAACTAAGAGAAACGACTGTTTGTTAGGAAGTCTGCTTACAGCTTTGGTAAACGAAAGCTAGCTAGACGTGTGGGAATTATTGAACTGGTCTAATTATCAACAACGGATGCATGAACAGCACCGTAAAAAATGACAAACTACAAGCTAGTGCAGCAACATAGAATGCAAACAAGTTTACAAATAAGAGATTTACTTGCAAGTCCATCACAAGATCGGCAGGTCAGCATTGCTGTTACAATCCAGTGCTGCTTTTAAGCTCGTGCCAACGAGTGAAAGCCTGACCGAGTGGACTCCTGTCCGGTTTGTAGCACGGTCCGATTCTCTTTCCCTTTTTCTGGACATTTCTGACCGAGTTTTCTTGGATGTGCGCAAGTAGCTTCACACAGTATGTTGATGTGTGTGACGTCGTTGCCGTAAACCATTTCGTGATGTGTCAGGGGCGCCGCTCTCAAACTTGCATGGCTAGTTTTTCCGGCGGCGTCCACCCCAAGCTCTACTACCAGGATGATTCGCCCTACTATGACTTTGTTAACCACTGAAATTACTTTGAAGCTGTCATATTAAGGTACAGATCTTGCATAGAGTGCATTTAAGATATTTTAGATTTAGTTTGAGAGCTTTCTGTTCCTCCATTGACCATGTAACTTAATGTTATACATTTTAAACTGTCCTTGTCCAGAAAGGAATAAAGACATCATCAAAGTAGTCCATGTGATATCAGTGGGTTAGTTAGAATTGTTTTTAATCATCAAAAATACATTTTGGTCCAAGAATAACAAAATATATGGCTTTAGTCAGCATTTTATTGTGTTCCGGTTCTGTTGTCAAGCCAAGTTCAGGAGTCCGCAGTGATACATGATGACGTAAGACACTGCTGACGTGTTCTCTGGTGTCCATGTATTCAGGTTCAAATAAAAATAGCTGGACAAAAAGAAATGCAAGTCTTCCTCTATGTTGAAATCCTTAGACATGTTTGCGAAGATTGTTTTGTTTACAGTGTGCATCTCCCTCAGACTGTAAATGAAACTCTGGTGCACTGGTATCACATCAGCGTCTTGCGTCATCGTCACTGAATGCGGATTTACAATAGAACTGGAAGAGAATACAATGCTGAATAAAGTTGTAGTTTTTGTTAAACTAACCCCCTGATGTCACATGGAATACGTTGATGTCTTTATTTCATTTCTGGACAAGGACAGTTTACCGTGTACTGTATACCAGGGGTTCTCAACTCCAGTCCTTGCAACCCACTGCTCTGCATATAGGGGATTATCACGCTGATGCGTAGTACTCCCGGATTCAGTGATCTTTGTGCACTGCCACTTCCTTTGAATTACCGATCTCACTGGCGAACTGATGACAGACTACACTAAGTTTATTTATACGTCATCCCTGGTAAATAGTCTGATTCACTAAAGTGCCGGCTGCAAATAAACGTGCTACCTTGTTTTATTTCAAAGTTTTAATCCACTTCTTCCTTGTACTCAATTCAGTCGGGAATCCATGAAAACGTAAGTAGGGTTGGCGTTGTTGGTTAGATTTACAAAGTGGAACAGAGCAGTGACATAGCCTTCGCCTCAGCCATTGTTGAACTGCGTCGGAAGTGGACAAAGTGCACAAAGTTGACAAATCCCGCCCATGAAACCCAGAAGCGTGATAATCCCATATTGTGTATGTCTCCCTTATTTAACCCGCCTGATTCAGATCCTCAGCTCGTTAGGATAGACTCTGTTGCTGCGTCCCAATTCGCTTACTTGTACTACGCCCTAAAAGTATGTACTCTTTTTGTGAGGAAAAAGTACATACTTTTGAGTGTGTAGCAAAAGAGTAGGCAAGCTTTGGGACATACTATCACGTCATCTTTAACGGGCAGCTCTGTCGCGTGCTGCGTGCATCCTGTCACCGTAAACTGCCCTGTCAATCATCTTGTCACAGTTAAAATCCTCCATTCTATCTAATTTTATTTCCTACCATTTCGGAGAGCACGTTCATCTGCCAGTTGTGGGTCTTTCATGCTCTCCTTGTGTTTGCAATTTGAATATAACGATGCATTTAAAACGTGATGGCTAAACGTGTCTTTACAAAAGTTCACAATGCTGCTGAAAATGCAATATAATGTGGACAACATTGAATAAATTCATTTTCGTCAGGTTAGATTCTGATAATTAATCACTCAAAGCTCTTTATCTAAACCTCTACACAACCGCGGGGACTCGCGGGGACTCGCGCGTCCTCCGTATCGACTACGTGTCTGTAGTTTTTTAACACTTTTTACTCGTGTTTGTTGTTCTAACCGAATCCTCGTCCAACGTGCAATGGTTTGTGGGCAATATCAGCCATTAGAGTGTGCATCGATCTACACTTCGGATTCTGACCGGAAAAAGTAGACCATCCGGGTATCTTTGAAACACTCATTTCAACACACTACGATTTGGGACGCACAAATTCTATTTTCAAATACTATTTAGGACGGATGGTATGCGACGCAGCATATTGGGACGCAGCATGTGTCAATCCTAACAAGCTGAGGATCTGAATCAGGTGTGTTAAATAAGGGAAACATACAAAATATGCAGAGCAGTAGGTCGCGAGGACTGTAGTTGAGAACCCCTGCTGTATACCATTATTTTAAGGGGCAGAAATCTCTCGGACTAAATCTAAAATGTCTTAAATCATGAAGATGAAGGGAGGTCCTAAGAGGTTTGAATGACATGAGGTTAATAGAGTCATTAATGACATAACTTTCATTTTTGGGTGAACTAACCCTTCAACAGTCTAAATGTGCACTTTACAATGACAGGTGGAAAGTATGTTCCTCGTGCTATTCTTGTCGACCTGGAGCCTGGAACTATGGATTCAGTGAGATCTGGACCATTTGGACAGGTCTTCCGACCAGATAACTTTGTCTTTGGTAAGCCCGTTTTTATATGCCATTTGACAAGAATGTTAAATTCTTGATGTTTACATTAAGCTTTGTATAATCTCTATAATTATTTTCAATCATAGGTCAGAGTGGTGCTGGAAACAACTGGGCCAAGGGTCACTACACAGAAGGTGCTGAACTTGTAGACTCTGTTCTTGACGTGGTCCGTAAGGAGGCGGAAAGCTGCGACTGCTTGCAAGGCTTTCAGCTCACCCACTCCCTTGGAGGAGGCACCGGGTCAGGCATGGGCACACTGCTCATTAGCAAAATCCGTGAGGAGTACCCAGACCGCATCATGAACACCTTCAGCGTGGTGCCCTCACCTAAAGTCTCAGACACTGTTGTAGAGCCTTACAATGCCACGCTGTCTGTCCATCAGCTGGTGGAGAACACAGATGAAACGTATTGCATCGACAATGAGGCGCTGTATGACATTTGCTTTCGTACACTCAAACTTACTACACCTACCTACGGCGATCTCAACCACCTTGTGTCAGCCACCATGAGCGGGGTCACCACCTGCCTGCGCTTCCCCGGTCAACTCAATGCTGATCTGCGCAAACTGGCCGTCAATATGGTGCCTTTCCCCCGTCTGCATTTCTTCATGCCAGGCTTCGCCCCCCTTACCAGCAGGGGGAGTCAGCAATACCGAGCCCTCACGGTTCCTGAGCTCACACAGCAGATGTTCGACGCCAAGAACATGATGGCTGCTTGTGACCCCCGACACGGTCGCTATCTCACCGTGGCCGCTATTTTCCGAGGCCGCATGTCTATGAAGGAAGTGGATGAGCAGATGCTGAATGTCCAGAACAAGAACAGCAGCTATTTTGTGGAGTGGATTCCCAACAATGTTAAGACCGCCGTGTGCGACATCCCGCCTCGCGGTCTCAAAATGGCAGCCACTTTCATCGGCAACAGCACCGCCATCCAGGAGCTGTTCAAGCGCATCTCTGAACAGTTCACTGCTATGTTCAGGCGCAAAGCCTTCTTGCATTGGTACACGGGTGAGGGGATGGATGAGATGGAGTTTACGGAAGCTGAGAGCAACATGAATGACTTGGTGTCAGAGTACCAGCAGTACCAAGACGCCACTGCCGAAGAAGAGGGAGAGTTTGAGGAAGAGGGAGAGGAGGAGCTTGCATAAAGAGTTGACAGCTCAAGTTCTTGTTCACCGTTTTTCTGTTCAGTTTCCTAAAGCTGCGTTCACACTACAAGCGACTTTGTCGCTGCAGGTCACCAGTGGCTGCGCTGGAGGGCGTTCCCACAACTGGTTGCCTAGTAATGTTTGTGAGTGACATTCATGGATGTTACCCTTATGTTAGACAACAAATACGTTTTACTGCCGCTACAAACAAATATTTTGGAATGAAAAGTCTAAATATAAATGGAATCAGTACATAAAATGCGTAATATTAAAGATGAACGAGAAACAGTGAGTGCTCTTTGCCATCGCGGCTGTTTAACTGCAGCAAACGGGCAAATACCTGTCTGTCTGGGTTCCCGAAACCATTCAGTCACAAAGTCAGTATGGTGAACACCACTGTATGTACACAGAGATATATCATAAATTATAGGACAGTCTCTAATTGCTAAAATGAGCTTCTCGTTCAACTTGCCTCGGTCAAACTCCGCACCGAAGAGTGACGCACTCCACTGACTTCACTCCTATTGGTTGTCGCTCCCAAAGGTCGCTCTGCATTCGCATAAAGTTAAACATTTATCAACATTGCCTCGTCGCCAGACACCCCCACATTTAGTCGCCAACGGTCGCCGGAAGTCGCCCGCTCACCATTGAAAATGAATGGTATCGTGTCACTTGCTCACGTGTAGTGTGAACACAGCTTTATTCGTTGGTTTGTCTTTTTGATCTCTTCCTTCCAAGCAGATTCACAAGCTGCTAAAAAGTTCTCAATGGTCTTATAATGTCTAATAAAGCTCTGAATTTGATAGCTGTATTTTGGGGTGTGTTGTCTGTCTGGCTTTTTTCCTTGCTGATGTGTTGAAGTGAATTGTAAAGGATGCTCGGTTGAACATTACTAATGTTGTATTGGTAACCATTCATTCTGTATAACAGAATATATAAACATGTTAAGTTAGTAAGATTAAAAAAAAGGAACAGCACAAAAACAGAATATACATCTACAATGGCATTGATTGGTACAGGTAAGTTAGTATTAAGCAAGGCACATCAGTTAAAGTAAATATATATATTTAAGGTTACTATTCAACTAAATTGACAACATGTTTACGTGAACCAAGATTAAAGAGCACCTATCATGGATTTTTGAAAATGACTGTTCATGTAGTGTGGAATATAGCTCTAAGGGAATGAAAACATCCTGCAAAGATTTATATATGGAAGTGCACCGTATAGACCATTTCACAAGATGTAAACAACACTGGTCCAGAAGCACTTCCTGTTTCAGTTTGTAACTGTTTTCTTTATTTCACATGTAAAGAAAACATCTTAAAGATGTTTGTTTAAACTTTTTGATTCAGTTTTAAATGTTCTGTTGGTTGTATTTTATCCCAGCTTTTATGTAGTGTTAAAAAACTGAAACAGGAAGTGCTTCTGGACCAGTGTTTACATCTTGTGAAATGGTCGTCTTTCAAAAGTGGGCGTCGACTCAGTCTATGAGATGAATTGTTTTTGAAACGAGTCATTAGCTGTTTCGTAGTGATGTAGATACAAAACATAAGCATATTAGCCGCGCCCAATTACTGCGCGCGCAGACGGAAGTGTAAACTTGAAGTCTAGAACATTCAAATACTTCAGCTGAATATGTCAAGAAGACGCTGTGTTCTGCAATGCAAAGACAGTTCAGCCACTTGAGCATGTGAAGAATCGGTGGTTAGAGTTCATATTTGCATCATTTTAATGAAGAATCATTCAAAAGCATACATGAATTTAAATGTGGATTCGCAAGCCGGTTGTTCCTGAAGGAGGGCTCAGTTTCCCCACAGTGTATAAGGATCAGCTTTCTTCCTCCGAATCACAACCTGTAAGTATTATTAATTGTTGTTTTTATGGGTTTTGTAGCGTCGGTGCGCGAGGAGGGAAGTGCATAGATAGACAGTGTAAGAAATATACTATAAATATAAGTATGAAATAGAAATATAAGTGTGTGTGTGTAAGTTACGCTCAGCTTCTTGGTCTCCAATGTCAATTTTTTTTAAATATGTGAAATGTTTGTCGTTATTGGAGTTGTCATAAAGAATAGAGCGTCTTGTAGTACTGCAGTGCTTTATCAATATGTTTATAATGCCTTAATCTAACAAACAATAACTGAGTGGGTCATCTGACCCATGGGCGTGGTAGTGGGGGGAAAAGTGGACCTGACTACCCAGGGCCCTGTCTAGGGAGAGGGCCCTTTGAAATCCCATCAATTTTAAAAAAAAAATTTTTTTTTTAAACCTAATTAGAATTAATTGCGCCCTCCAATTGATGTCATTAATAATCATTTAAAAAAATATTGACCAAAATGAACTCAGTGCCAGACACTCTGGACCCCCTTCCAAATGGTTTAGTCCGCAACGCGTCGACCGCCCATAGACGCAGCGGGCGGCAATTTCCAATATTATGAAGCTGCAGACTCGGAGCCTGCATCTACAGTCCCCCACCGAGAGTCCCGCATTCTCAGACCCCTCGTTTTTCGAACACAGCGCCTCCAGCTGTTCAAAAGGTCGAATAACACCCACACACAGAGTACAGCGTACGATTATCCAAATGCAATTAAAAACAATAGGATGCAATATTACGGTCTCCAAATAAATTACCCAATAAATATTTGCGTTCCCTATGTGCAGAAAAAAAACTAATTGTTACTGATGGAAGAGATACAATTACAGATTGAACTATCTTCAGAAAAATAGTATGTGATATTATATTGTTTTTTTTAATATTTTTTTATTCAAATTCCAATTTTTCTTTCAGTTCAACCTATAATGGTCTAATTAACATTACGATGCTAAGATTACAAAATCTGTTTTTTGATATTTTCAGAATAGACAAAACACCAATAAAATAAACAATTCCTACTTTATTTAAGATAATGATCACCTAAACATCATCTTGCTGTAAAGAAAAAAGGAAGGAAAAAATGTGTTCGTGACTTTACTTTTCGTCTTCAATTGCATTAAAAAACTCATTTATAAGTCGCTTTGCATAATCCTAAAATGATGTTGCTGGGTTAGGCAGGGGCAACTCCATCCATGTATGGTGTACCCTGCCTACAACATAGGACGATATAGCACATGTCTTATGATGTTTCAAAGCTAAATTATAAACGTTAGCTATCTAAATATTTTCGGGGGAAAAGGGCGAAAAAACATAGCCTACATTAACGGCTCAAATCTTGTTACAAACTAACTTTACAAATATTCAATGGACTATTCATATGTTGTATCGATGAGCTAAATTAGTTTTATTAAAAAAATGAATCAAACGAGTAGGCTACTACGATTCGCTAAATAAAATTGAAGATAGCCTACTCACGTTTATGTTTATCCGATACAATTTGATAGGAGGCGCTGTCTCGAAAAACGAGGGGTCTGAGAATGCGGGACTCTGGGTGCAGGGGGACTGTAGATGCAGGTCTCCGAGTCTGCAGCTTCATACTACTCGCAATTTCGGCAAACATGTAATAACGCAGTGAGTCTAGAGCCTGTAACGGGAGTCTGATCTGATCATGCTGTGCAAAAAGCCCAAATCAGGCTTTCAAAAAAAGAAAGAGAGGAAAGAAAAAGATAGGAGGCAGAATGCGGGGAAGCAGCTGATGACTGCTTTCTTCCCAAAAGGTGAACTGAGTTTGCTATGCACCTAACGTTACATCCAATTAAAGTTAACGTAGTCAACTCCAGACAGCTGCTGCTAATGCAGGGTTCCAGACTGCGACCAAATTGGTCTCATATGCGACCATTTTTGAGAATTTGATTGTGCGAGTTAAATGTGATGTGGTCGCGTCGCATATGTGCGAGTGGACGCTCGCGCAAAAGAACACCGACCGTTGTATCAGCTGCTGCAGACTGCAGTCCGTAACTTATGTTCAAAACGAACGAGTAGGCTACATCATGAATCCATTTTCCAAACCGTGTTTTTGACTTATCCTGAATCACTACAGTACGCCTGTTATAAGTGTTTATATTCGGACTATTTTTTTTATCCCGGATTTCCGGGGTTGAACTTGACTCCGATGCGAAGTTGCCCAGTGACTGCGTGACTCGGCATAGACATTAATGGAGAGAAGTAGCTCCGGCAACAGTGTTCTTCCGCAAGACACATAGACGTCACGCGCGCATTGCACACTGATGGTGGAACGCGCCAATTACGAATTCATGAATAAAAATATAAAAATGAAAATGTCTCAGGAAACAAATTATTACAAAATGCAGGAGGTGAGGAGTGTGAGATTTCTGATTTTTGAACTAACTTATAAAATTTGATACCGAAAAATCTGTTTTAGCTTGTTGTAATACTCTAATCTTTTAAAATGTAATGAACATTTGAATGTTTAATTATTTTTAAAAGATAGAAATATGATGCTAATAGAAAAATGACAGACAGAAGATTATGATTGAAATATATTAAATAGATGGATTGAATGTAATTCAAATGTAAAATTCTTAAAATTACAGATTAAAATTACTGTCCAAAATGATAATTAATATATTACAGGTATTTATGGTAAGCCTTTGCTGGCTTTGGTCCATTTAAACCACTATTCATCGGCATGCATTGATTAATCCCATGGCATGTAGCAAAAATAAATAAATAAATAACCGCGACGAAATCTAATGCTGTTGGTAGCGTCAGTTTAACCTGATTTCTGAGGGTACAGTTGTCTCTCGTGTTCTTGTGTTCTCCTAATCAAAAATAAATGTTTTTCATTTAAAACTTGCATCAGTATCATGGATCAAAATGTTAGTACACAAAACCGATGTAGCCTAAGGTTGAGCACAAGTAGGCCAAATGCATCAATTCAGGTGGTGAATGAAAAAAAACAGTCATTACTATAATCTCATTTTATTATTTAAATACTGTTTATACTTGTTTATATTAAATAATTAAAAAAAATACATTTCATTCAAAATTGAATTTTCAGACAGGGATTAGATAAAAGCCAGGATTAGGCCTTAGTTCAAACAAGATATTCAAGTAGCTTGAACGTGCCTTAGAAAAAAAAAATACTGGTGTATATCTTAAGACAAAACAAAACTGCTGGTGTTGCACGTTTGGTTTCAAGTGATCATAAAACATTCAGCACAATATGCGTTAATGTTGTGAAATTATGGGGGTTTTCTGTTTTCTCCAGCAGGTGGCGCTGGATAGTTACTGAAAAGGTCGCTCATGAGATTTGAATGTTGAAGGAGAGGCGAGTTGATGTGAACTTCACTGATAAAAATCCTGTGATCTTTTAAACCCGGATTTCTGCTTAAGTATTCTCTCCATAAACTTGAAAGGTATGTGACTCAGCCAGATTTACAGAAAACTACTAGGTTATACCAACCTAGGACAATACGGAATGAAACGCTATATAAAGTTTTGCTTAACAGTTGCATAACAGCTCTGCTGAATCGTGTCCACACCTTTCTTAATCTTAGATGAGATTTGTCATATTAAATCTTGTCACCGAGACGGTCTAATTATTAACTTGAAGCTCTTTCAATGCAACGAGGATTACATTAATTAACGTGACACAACAATCTGGCCCAATTTCATGGAACATTGAAGGAAGGAAACTCTGAGTTGAATTGCAGTCGACACCAGAGCAGAGGGGGAAGAAGGAACATTAATTCAATCAACTAGCTGTGTTGTGAGTTGAAGATCGCAGAGGAGGGCTTCATTTACTGAGCAATTATGTCTTAAGTTTACAGTGTTTCAAAGTTTGCAGTGACCATTGACATTGCTTTTTCTCTAAATCAAATTTCTGGAGGTTCAAAGTAGATCATCATACTT